GGCGTGTGTGTGGGTAAGCGCGTGCTTCGCAAGCAGGCCCAGGCCGCGCGTGCGCGGAGGAACCCGCCTTCCGCCTCACCGCCAGGGCGACAGCACGCGCGCGATTAGACAAGGCAGCTCGGGGCCGCGACGCCTCGCGGAGCCTCGCGGAGCCGCGCTCCGATGACGAAGTTCGGTGGTCGGGACGCGTTCTTAGGCGTGCGCCAGGCCGCGCCGCCCGACACGCGACATGCGACACGCGACGTGTGGCACGCCCTGCGAGCTATTGCGGGACGGCAAGCAAATCATCGTGGGGCCCTGCAGAAAAACATCCTCTATATTTGCCCCCCCCCCCAAAAAGTAAAACTTTTTGTACAACTACTAATGGAAAATTAACTAATTGTTTATGGAATAATTCTAAAAGCAATTTGTTAATTTGTTGCAACTTGCAATTTACAAACGTGTATTATATTGGTTGCATATGTATATTCGTTGCTGTACATTTCCCTCATTAGATGCAATTAAACCCAGCATTCAGATTTTGGCAATAATGCGTCAGGGTATTGTAGGCCGCATTGAGCGCTCACGTTCCCGAAAGCAGTTCTCACCAACGTTCACTATTTTATCATCGTATCTACCCATTTCAACTCTAATCTAATGCAAATTCCAAATCTAAGCAGTTTTAACCTAGGTTTATACTTCATGTACTCCAAAAGTATAAAAAACAAGTTCCCGTTCCACATCATAAAAATTATATCCGTAATAGATCCTAATTAGAGGTGAAGACTTGGTTTCTTCAACACCAATGCTAATATATATACAATTGTCACCATTCCCGTCACCTTATAGGACGCAATTACGCTCGGAGAATATATTCCGCAATCATAAAGAAATCCAAATTGTGACCACGTTAGTATGCATTTTAATAATTAAACTTGTTCAAAGAATTGGTTGCCCTGACCGGGATTCGAACCCAGGCCTCCTCGTTTACGTTCAACTGCTCTAACAACTTTAAACAAATTTAATTATGTAATGCTAATAGTAAGTTTATTTTAAATTTAGTTAATAAGTCAACATTTGTGCAATTAAATAATAATGGAGCTATGTACTTGACCAAGGGAAAAACGATTGCACACGGGTAAGTATTGGACCGATGCATGCTGAATGGTCCGGTTTGAGTAACTCTGAAATGAACCATACTCGGGATTTTCTCCAATTTTGCAATTCTGCAATTGATGTTTCCAAAATCGAGCCTGCAAAAACTAAACGGATTTTTTTATTGTGGAGGATACTTCGTATGGAGCCCGTTGAACATTAACAAATTTTCAAAAAAGTTAATATTCAAAAAATTTCGAAGCTTTTTACTTTTTTTACTTATCGCATTCTTTCGAACCTTTCAAAATTTTTGTCACTGCATTATAGATGTGTTTCATGATTTAATGCACGGCTACTGAAGTGAGCGGCTCACTTGGCGTGGTTTTGTCCAGCACTTATCAGCGGGCAACCGGTGTTGTTCTGCTTGTCGAGTCAGCCCCCGTGCCTGGGTGGGAGGGGAAGGGGAGGCGCTTGACCGCGTTGGCTCTTATCTGCACGCGGGGAATTGCAGCGGTCCCCTGCCGGCAGCCTGTGCATTTGAGAAGCGCTGATTTAAAGCATTTGTAAACAAAAGAGTTAATGGTTTCTTATGAAGTTTCACAGTGTCAAGGTTTTCTAATATAAGTGAGGATAAACTAGGACATTTTCAGAAACGCTAGTTTCAATAACTAACTTTCTATAACACTATTCTAAAAACTTATAAATGGGGTTTTTAGAAAATTAGACACGGTTTTGTGATTCAAACTGTTTTATTAAAATATTTTTGCACAAGAAAGCTTAAATATTAGAAGAACATAATTTGCATAATATTATTATTATTTATTATTATTATTACTATTACAGCTTCAAGACAATTATTATTATTATTATTATTATTATTATTATTATTATTATTATTATTATTATTATTATTATTACATCGTCTTTCAAAATTTTACACTCGTCCGGAGTTTTCAGCTGTAACTTAAGGACAGAACATCAACATATGGTGAGATGGTGAGAAGTTCTTGCTCCAGAGCACTCAGGTTCCTCTTCAATGACTACGAGAGAGAACCTTACGCACAATATTGGTGGTTGCCATCAACACCGCCTTCTGCATGGTTCTGAAGTGCCATTCATTTAGATTATCTTTCACAATCCTCCAATCTTCAGCAACAAGTTCACTAGTTGAAATAACAACGGGCACATTATCTACCTCTATTAATTTGTATAGGTTTTTCAGTTCAATTGAGAGTGGTTGGTATTTTCTTTTCTTTTCTTTCTGCAATTGTTGACAACAGATATAAATCTAATGGGACTGCGATATCTATTATTATTGCCCTGCTAGAAATTTGTCCAATACGACAATATCAGGCTTACTTGCCTCCATTCTTTTATCTGTAAAATGACAGTATCCCACAATATTTCTGTTTTCTCATTAGACAGAACTTGCTCTGGTAGATATTTGTAATAAGCTAAGCTTTCCTTAATCAGGTCCGATCTTTTGGCAAGTGTTTGGTAGATCATTTTGGCCACATTATTATGACATATAATCTGTTTGTGTCAACTGAGAACATCCACTGCAGATGCGTTGAACAGATTCGGTGGCCATCTTACACAGGCGACACATGTCACAGATATCGCCTATAGTCGTTAGTGGTTTCTACCTGATCTTGAATGGCCAGCCCAAATCCTTCCGTCTCGCCAAAACGCCCAGCGGTTCTCAACCATTCAGTTGATATCTTCATGGCGATGGAGTTACTTCGAGGCGCTGTTGCAAATCTGCAAAATCCTTTAATTTCGGAAAACGTGTATTCTGGTCTTCTTGGAGCAGCTTAAGAGGTGTATAGCCGTGATCTTGTGCACAGATGGCTGTCATGGATTCGGTGCTGATGAAATAATTTCTGAGCTGTTTTCTTGCTGGCGGCGCAGCTTCAAGACAACAGTCCACGTCCTCCGTGGTGTCTTGAAATATATAGCTTTTCGGTGGAACTTTGAGGACGATGCATCCGCTATTTTGATAGAAGTGTTCTAACTTTTCTATCAAAAGCTTGCAAAGCTGTACCAGACTACTTGACAACTCCAAATGTAGCCAGCCAATCACAGCACACATGACTGGTCACTGGTTGGGGACTACTCGTGGTGAGATGATCAACTATCCCTTAAGGACGAGTTTCTAATATCTTCTGTAATATAATTTCCTGTGTCCCCGCGAGTGAATCGTTAAATTTGAACAACCGGAGTAAGATGGAAACTCATTTTTTTTTCAATAGGCTAAAAAGCCAACAACTGAAGTTACTTATGGCGTAAGGCTTTATCGACAAAAAAAATCGGATAGGGCGTCTTCCCAATGCACTGTTGACACGCTGACAGCATGCTGGCCGACAGTTCGCAAGACAACACCTGTCTTCAAAAGACTGGACTCTTGGAAAAGCGTGAGGACAGGCAAGTTGCTCTCGGCGACAGTGCACTGTCATATCTCTGTCTTCGTCGCGTTGTTAAAACACTCGGCGTGTACGATTGCAAAGCTTCTTGCAATTTTGATGATTACTAAATAAAAAAATATGCAGTTAATCATTTCAAGTAAAAACAAATATTCTTTAGACATATTTACTTGTTTACCACGGAAAGCGAGCGTAATGGATGCTGACATAATCTCTTATTGACATTCATTTGACAGTGATTTTATCTTTTAATGATTAACGATCCACATCAGGGATAATTAAAATGTTAACTATGTGAACGTATTACACTCTCCCTTAGAGACGCATTTTTCTAATGTGGACTTTTAGAATAAAAACGTGTTTTAAAACAAAGTGTAATTTACATAATATTTAATTGTAATTTTATATATGCGTTCAGAATTGTTTCAAGTTCAGTGAGCCTTCATACTGCTCGTTGAGTATATTTCGCGAAAGTCCATTCTGCCTGATATAGCATACTCTTCTGGGGAAATACATCTTAAAGCTCCCAGACTTTAGATAACAAAAATAATTATACGAATAATAAAAAAATATCACCCACATGATTCTTGTATGCCTCTCTTTATCAAGACAGGAATTCTACCATTGTTGTGCCTCTTGATTTACGAATCAGTGTTTTTGGTCAAAAATGGCCCATTCTAGGGTGGGAACGTACTTTCACTGAATACAGATGTCTATAATTATAACACTCGACGTAGTAATATATTCACTAGGGGTCAATTTCAACAGCTCACTACAAAACATTAACATACAATACACGTCCATTATTTAACATTACATTGCCAGACGATATTAAACGATTAAAACCTATACACAGTGTAAGTGCCAAGTAAAGTCCTTTCTGCTACATAACTGTTTCTATAGAATTAGAAACTACATAGAGCATCAAAATGGAAAGTAATATTGATTTTAACAATGATCTTTAATGTATTGGTTACCATGGGACTGTATAATTCTAAAGACTAAATAAACTTGTAACACGTATTGCTCCTCATCTTCTGGATAAAGGTTTTTCCAAGTTCCTGTGAGCGAATGCGGAGATGCCCTCTTGGTTTGCTACTAGACATGAATATAAATGTAACTTCACCATCTGTGCACATTTTTTTTAGAGTTGAGTGGGAAATATTGTTATTCAAATTATCGTTCTCCTTGTTCTCGTAGCAGTAAGCTGAGTCCTTTACGAAGGGAACGCTGAGGGAAAATAGTAAAAATCTGTAACTGATTTACCTTTGAAAATGGATTTATTTCATAGGAGGGAATAAGTTATAAATTCTTGTCAAAAACGCTCGTTTCTATCTGTATTCATAATTCAACATGTGTATAGGTTAAGGGTAGGGATCATACTTTAAAGAAACAGTGCACAGATTACACTTCTTCCCATAGTACGTCACACGGTTTTTAACTGTTTTGTCGTAAAATAATGAAATACATATATATTCATTCTGACTATTATTTCTTCTACAGGAAGAAAGAAAATTTTACATGAAGTATGTGGGCGACTACCACCAAGTCAGCTCATTGCAATCATGGGCCCGTCTGGCGCAGGGAAAAGTACACTCCTGGACATTCTTTCAGGATACAGGTAAGCGGGAAAAGGAAGCACTTACTTCTAGTTACCTTCATGATGTACCAAAGAGTGTCATTGTTAAGACGTTCTACGTACTATGAATTTGAAAATCTGGAATAGAATTTCGAACGCGGCAAGTAATGCAGTAATCAGACTCCTTGCCCTCTACCTCTCAGCTCACTATCCAAGTTTCCAAATTACCCATGAACGCAAAGAGATGTAGAGTGTGAAGTAATGTGAATTCAAAATTTTATAGTGAACTATTAGGATCGAATGGAAACTTTTCCGACACTTCTGCTTTTATTCCACAATTGTTCTATCCATTCATACCATCACTGTTCATTGATCATGTGGTGAGTGTGAAAATCCTTGTCTTTTCAACAATTCCAATCCTTACGCTAATGGCCAAAAGGTTCTTGGGATATGCCTGAGGCCTGCGTATTATTGCCATCGTATCGGTCTTCATTCTGCGACCGTTGAATACTGAATACCCTTCCAACAAAACACTTAGTAGCATACCATCCGGGAAATTTTACTCACCTCAAAGCGGGTTCGTCTCGTTTAGCTCTAACTCACCTCCTTCGATTTGCACTTATACTTATACGTCAGGGTCGTATCCAGATTAGCTGGAACGGAAAGTGACTTCGGAATGTCTCCCCAACAGAATCTTGGAGGGTCTACCCGCCAGCTCCCAGCTCCCAACTTTCCGGTTTGGTACCAAAGTTACCTAAGCATCACTCACAATTTGCCTCCTGGCCGACGAATCCAAGGTCCGTCTGGGGTCAATCCGACGCGAGTACTGGCGGGTCGGAGCTCTCAACCCGTCTCCTCCCTGCGCTAACTTACCACTGACGACGTCAGTATCGCGGGAGGTTTCAACTCCCCGCCAGGCCTGGCATATCAGGAACCTCGACACAAGGCTGCAGCCCCAATCCAGCCAGCCTCTTCCGCTGGGAACAGGTAGTGTGGAGCCGAGGTATGGCTGCTTGGCCTCCTTCACGCGGGTGGGGGGTGGAGGGCAACGCGATTGCTTCATAATTGCTGTAGTAAGACCAAACTACGTTGAGGCTCGCTTTGGTTTTAATCTGTCTTTGGGATACTTAGATTTAATACGTCGGTATGCAGAATTGTGACATTGACTAAAGATTAAAGAGCATGGGGAAGAGTGAAGGTTTTGATAAAAATATTGAACTATTTGTGTTATGTGGTCGATTAATGAGGGCACTTTAAATTCTCTGCGAATCTGGAGGTTTGGAATGAACCAGGGGACATTTAAAGTTCTTCTTAAAATATATATTATGAATGGCTGCTAATTTTTGGAGATTGCTAGTGGCAGCACAACCCCAAACTGGGCATGCGTAAGTCATGTTTGTTAGAATTAAGGATCTTAATAATAACAGCCGGCATTCAATTTTCAATGAAGAATGTGCATTAATTATAGGGACGAATTTTGATATTTTTGCAGATAATTTAATGGCTATTGCATTTATGTGAGGTTTCCAAGTTAATCTTTTGACAAGCAACACTCCTACGTAGTTTATCGATGAGGAGGTCCAAGGATTATAAGTATTGTGAAGATTTAGTTCGGCAGGGTTTTTGGGGCGGCGTAACGTGAAGATTTTGGTAGACATTTTAACGATTTATTATGATTCTCCATTTTTGAATCTAGTTAACATACCCGTTTAGTGTGTTTTGAATATAGTCCTTGGCTCCAGCAAACGTCGCTTTGCGTTGCGAAGAGCGCAATATCATCTTCGTACAGAGCTCTCTTAAAGTCACCCTCAGTGGGGATATCGTAGCTAAAAATTATGAACAGAATGCGAGATGGTACTTATTCTTGTGGCACACCTGCAGCAATGGTGTGCTGGTTGGAGGTCGAAGAATTGATTATTACAATAAACGATCTGTGAGTGCGATATCCTCCGATAGGCCCGAGTGCCAAACTCTGTCGTACACCTGACTTATATCCACGAAAACTGTTGCTGTTCTTTTGGTGGTAGCCTTGCGCTATGGCTTCAGTCAGTAGTTGGTGCGTTGTTGAGAGATTGTTCCTGAACCCGAATTAATCGACGGAATAGCGTTTGCGGAATTGAGAAATATAAAAAGAACTAGAAAGTATTAGTATTTCAAAAATTGTAGGTATGGTTGGCAATAGACTAATGGATCTGTAGCTTTTAACATATCTAGTTTTTTCAGCTTTACAGAAAGGAAATATTACAGCTTTTGCCCTCGCTAAGGGTTCCTATTTTCAGGGGTGGGATGTTTGATTTTTCTTTGGTTAGGTGTACGACCGATGACCAGAGGTGGCTCGAATTTGGATCAATTTCATGTGATGAAACTATTTGAAACTGAATGATTCTACTTTGTTTAAGGTGTCCATGGCACTGGTAATGAGTTGCCCTGTTAAGAAGCGGGAGTTCCGTGACATTCGCAACAACTCAGCACCCAACTGATGCAAGAAAGACACAAACACAATGGTTTTAAATAAACTTAGCCCGTTACGGGGTCCGTATCCGACGATCACCATCTAGACGCGTGTCTTTATTTGCCACTACTGAGGCGAAGGCAGGCGCTGCCGCACCGCAGGACGTGCGTACGCTACCACTGCTGGGTCGAAACTGACTTGATTCCTAAATACGTTTAAAAACGCCGCGCTGCTGGGCCATGAAGGGCTGTGTCGAGATCGCGAGGCAATCGCGTCAAGCACTTTTCCAGAATTACTGAAGAATTAAACATTAACGAATTTGCACTCACTGCTGTCTCGCATGTAAACGTATTGATGTAAACGCAATAGTAATGACGATGTGACAGACTAGGAAGAAATACAAGTAAGATGATAACCCATTTGTGCCACTTTTCAATGCTCCTGAATTTGTTTAATTAGCTCGCATCGCTGCGCCAGAAAATGTGCAAAACATCATTAAATTAAGAGCTTTAAGAAGACGGGCGTTCAGCCACAATCCCATCCCCACGCTCCAACACTTCTGCACCTCTCCATACGCAATCGCACCGTCAATTAGCCTCTGAAGGCTGTTGCTTTAGCACCCTTGTATTTTTTCTCTGGGTCTATTTAAAAAGTCTAAAATATCTTGGTGGGTAATATAAAGAGACGCACGTGAACGCTGTTGTGGCATGTATCAATGAAGTTAAGCCAACAGACGTTCAGAAAAGTATCGTTGCTGGAACACTGACGTGTGGTTACATGAATGAAGGTCACAGTGGATGGACGTTGTATTGTTAATTTCGAAAATCACGGAGGAAAATGACGTATTTGTAACTTTACGTTTTAAATGATAATGAAAGAGAAGCAAGTAATTTGGAAAAAGTGGCAAATCTCTTCAACAAATACTTTTCTAGAATTGCGGCTGAACTAACGAAGGTACTAAAATCACAAAATTCAAATTCATTCTCCTCCCAAAAAAATTTCGACACGATGTTTATTTCCGAAACTTCAAACGAAATCCTGAGAATAGTCCGATAACTAAAAAATAAATATTCATCATATATTAGATGAATTTCCGGACTGTTTATTAAAACTTGTGTACATGCCTTCATACACTCGTTAACTCACATTTTAAATGCTTCTTTATGCATATTTCCAGATAAATTCAAAACAGCAAAAATTAAGCAACTTTAAAAAGGGAACAAAATATAAATTCAAAATTACCGGCCAATTTCTCTTTTGTTAGTTTTCTCAAAAATATTAGAGAGGTTTTTGTATATGCGATTGGAAACTTTTCTTAGGAAAAACGAAGCGTTTTCAGACTCACAACACGGGTTTAGAAAATCAAAATCTACGGAAACTGCCATCTTTTCTTTTCTTAAAGATTTTGCTTCATCAGCGGAGCAAAATGAAGCACCCATTGGAATATTTTTAGAACTTTCGAAAGCTTTTGACGTTATTGAACATAACATCTTACTATCAAAATTACCTTCTCATGGAAATCGCGGTATTGCCCTAGAGTGGATAACATCGTACCTTAAACATCGATCTCAAAGAGTAGAAATACCATACTGGCACGAAAGAACATTATTTACCTACCTTTCAAATGTTTTACCAATTGAATATGGGGTACCTATGGGTTCGATCTTAGGTCCTATCATCTTTCTGTTATACGTAAACGATAAGCCCTCGTCTATCAAAAATGGAAGAACAGTTCTATTTGCCGATGATACGAATATTCTTTGCAAAAAAGAAACAATAAATAGAACGATTTCAGAAGATTCAAATTGTTTTTGTAATAACTAATTAATAGTTAACGATTGAAAGCCAGCGTCAATACATTCTTGCATTTGAAATCAACGATCGCATGTTCTATTGAAAATGAACTATATGCAATTAGCGTATGTTCAGGTAACAATTTCTAGGTCTATCAATTCAGTCAAACCTCAAATGGAATGTACATACAACAGAATTAAACACTAAATTAAAAAGTCTGAAAAAGTCTAAGTTAAAAGTGAAATCTTTTCTGCTGCATAACTGTTTCTATACAGATGGAGATTATACTGATTACCAAAATGTTTATCTTAACAAAACGGTGATATTCTCTCTCTCTCTCTCTGTATATATATATATAATTAGTTTACATTTGTAATTTATATTTTTTTAAAGACTTAATATGTTTGTAACAAATAATATACTTCATCTTTCGGGTCAATGACACCCATCTCAATCAGGTTTTTGTCCAGTTTCCCTGATACATTGAGCAAATGTTGAGATGGCGCCTTGTTTTGCTTCTGGACGTAAATGTAGCATCACTATACGCTTGGTTTGTTGAACTCTCCTTTTGCTTGTAGTGGTAGAAGCAGAGGTAAGGTTGAGTTACTATTATGTTAGCAGTGCAGAACATCAAATTGCAGTTCGTTTACCGTTGCAAATAAGTTTTCTATCAAACGAAAATATCAATTTTTTTCAAATGTTTCTAATCTCGCGCTATTTTAATTTTAATTTTTATTTATTTATCTTTATCTTTTATTCATCCGTCAACTATTTATAGTTTAAATTATGGGAAGGG